ACATCCATTACAGCATCAGATGGAATTTTATTTGGCCTGTAATCTATAATAATAAAAGTTTAATATGCAAATTGACCGAAACCATCTAGATGTCCTTCCGGACCACCTTCCAGATGAAGTCGGGCTGCAGCTATGGGATCGAGGCAGCCGCTGCGGCTGTGAAGGCCTACTCTTGCACGAATTTTGTGCATCAGGCCTCTAGTTTGATATAATAAGCCTAAAAAGGGATTCTGTAACTAAATGGTGAAGGAAAGAGAGTACATAAATTAGTTATGACTGTTAAGTCCTGTTTTCAGATAACATCTCTAATTACTAGTATTTTAATTTCCTTCATTTTTCAAACCATATCGTCTTTGTTGTCCAAAAAAAACCTCAATTCAAGTGTCCTTAAGGTCCAGATCCTCCATTGCACATAGATGGCCACTATATTGCAGTATACTCATTCTTCAGAGTCCTACCATAAACTCTATCCAATATGCAAAACTACGCTCATCTACTTCCAAACTCCTTCATTCTAACTCTGGATTTATTGGTGTTAAAGGAAATTTATTTCACCTCTGCTCTAAATCTAGTGAAGAGAAATGAAGGTTTTTTTGTTTGTTTTTACTGTCACACAACTGGCTCCTCCTGTAAAAAAAATGAGAGATAAATTTTTGGGCCTTGCAGTCTAATAATTCCTCTGTTTCCATATATATGAAAAGAAAAAATTAACAGAAAGAAGAAATAAAAAATGGAGAAGACATACTTTCTTTCAACTCTATATCATTTCATCTTGAATAAATTTTAGTATAATACCATGTTTTTAAAAATATAAAAATGTTATATTTAAATGTGCATCTATCTCTCTCTATAAAATGCATTCATTCTTCAATTAGAAATGCATTGGCTTTTTAATAATGACTATATAGATTATATTGTACTTTTTAAATATATTTTATTGATTTTTTACAGAGAGGAAGGGAGAAGGAGAGGGATAGAGAGTTAGAAACATTGATGAGAGAGAAACATTCATCAGCTGCTTCCTGCACACTCCCTACTGGAGATGTGCCCATAACCAAGGTACATGCACTTGACAGGAATTGAACCCGGGACCCTTTAGTCCGCAGGCTGACACTCTATCCAATGAGCCAAACCAGTAAGGGCTATATTGTACTTTTGAGCACAGTCTAGATTAAAGGAATATAAAAATAAATTAGGATCACTATTAAATCTCTATAAAAGTCCTTTGAACTGAGCATAAAGATACATAAAAACAAACATTTATTCATTAATTTTAGTAAGAATGCAGTTTTAAAGATGGTATTTTTAATAAATCATTATAAAATGGGATTCTTCATAGATTCAAATGTTAGCCTTCAAATTATCAACATACATGTTCCTTAAAGTATCAAATATTTAAAATTATACATCTTTATCTTAAACACACGAGGAAGGTCCTTAAGAAAACATTGCAGTTTTTTATGACCCTGCACTGATTAACCAGAAAACCTATTTCCACACAGCAAACATGCTTTAAAGAGGGCTTTTATGTCCTGCTTCTTTCTGTCCCTGTACCAGACACCTGGCCCAATCCAATCCTCAATTATTTCCCTTCTTGACCAAGTTTAACCGTTTAAAACCCCTAGGTAGAATTTAGATGGATTTATAGTCTTTAGTGAACTGGGAAGCTCATGCGTTGAGTGAGCACTAAAGAGGTATGATTTAAAATGAATGTCTTAAACTATGTCAAGAGTAAATATGTGCCCAGGACTGGCAAAGGGACCTGAATTCAAAGCACAAGTGCAAAGCTATATACTTTGGTTCTGTAATGATTTCTGCGTTAAAACCAGTTATTGTGGGACTTTAGATAATAGATCAGCTTTCCTTAACACTGAGAAAATGCCTTTTTTTATTATTATTGAATTTATTGGTGTAACAATGGCTCACAAAGCCATATAGGTTTCAAGTATACAACTCAAGAAAACATTGTGGGAGTTTAAATGATAGAGCAGCTTTCCTCAACACTGAGAAAATGCCTTTTTTATTATTATTGAATTTACTGGTGTAACAATGGCTCGCAAAACCATATAGGTTTCAAGTATACAACTCAAGAAAACATCATCTGCACACTGCATTGTGTGTCCATCGCCCCAATCAAAGATTCTTTCCTTTCCCCTTTTCCCCCTTTGCCTACCTCTACCTACCCCACAATATAAATGAGATCGTATTTGTCTGTCTCTAACTGGATTATTTCACTTAGCATAATACTCTCCAGATCCTCAGATCATTCCATGCTATCACAAAAGGTAAGATTTCTTTTCTTTCTTTTTTATTTTCACAGCCATGTGAAAATGGATCGTAGCTTTTTTATACTGTACACTCATCTACTGATGGGCATAGATCTTGGCTATTGTAAATAATACTGCAATGAACAAAGGGGTGCATATATTCTTTTGAATTAGTTATTTGGGTTTCTTTGGCTATATTCCCAGAAGTGGGATTGCTGGACCAAAAGGCAGTTGAATTTTTAATTCCTCAACTTTGAGGAACCTCCCTACTGTTTTTCACAGTGGCTGCACCAGTCTGCATTCCCACCAGCTGTGCACGAGGGTTCCCTTTTCTCCACATCCTTGCCAGCACTTGTTATTTGTTGATTTAGTGATGGTGGCCATTCTGATACCTGTGCGGTGATATCACATAGAGGTTTTAATTTGCATCTCTATGATGATTAGTGACTTTGAGCAGAGAAAAAGTTTTCTTACAGAAGTTAACATACTTAGAAGAAAACTCAAAAAACACAGTGCCCCTGAACAAAATAGGTACATCTTTGAATGCTCCAAGAATTACCCTAAATTCATTGTATTGTGTTTTCATTACAACACTAGATTTGATCTCTTATGTAATAAAAATAGGTGACTCATCACTGATAAACTTTGGTGTAAAACCAGCTGCATTTTCATTTTGCAATTTTAATACTTTTATTTTGACCTTGGATATGCAGTCCTTTGAAAGCATCATGTCTGTTACAGGCCAAGCTCTTAAAGGATTCAGTATAGATTTTTGCTCATCAGAAAGAATAGGGAATTTTTGCAGATGGATCTAACAGCACAAGAGTTTTTTTTATATTTTTGACTGTGTGTGTGTGTGTGTGTGTGTGTGTCTGTCTGTCTCTCAAGAGTTGTGTGTTTGTCACCACTGAGCCCTCCTTTGGTTCATCAAGCAGGGTGGTGCTTCTAGCCTTGTTTCACGATGTTCTACCCTTTTGCTTTTACCGAGGTCCTGGAGGATGGGGACTATGTGTTCTTCATTTATGTGAATGGTGCACAAACAAGTTAGAGTTAACTAATTTGTACACCAGTTGCATCATGGAGAATGGAAGGCAGGTAGAAGGAAAACACTGTGGAGCAAACGTGTGTGGGTGAATGTGGCAGGAAGAAGCCAAATGGGCAAAGGAGGGTCAGTAAAGGAAAGTGGGCACTTACCAGAATGGCTTAAGTGTAGACTCTGTACCTGGGCCCTGGATTCAAAACCCTGGTATTTTAGGGTAACTATAATGTTCTAATTTTTTGTGGGGGCAGTCTCAGTTTATCCCTGTTTTGTGTAATTATGAATAGCATCCCCTATCACTCTCAAAAGTCTCATTTTAGAAAATAAGTTTCATGTCCATCTTACATGTTGTGTGACACTAGGCAAATGGCCTAACCTCTCTGTGCCTCAACTTCCTCTTCTGTAACATAGGAATGATAACAGCTACTACATCAGGATTTTGGAGGATGAAATTAGATAGCAACTGATAGCTTTGTTCGTGCACATACAGCAAGCACACAAGGACTGAGTAGAATCTACATGCAGTGTAACCCCCTGGCACTTAACAGCTTAAAAAGCCCTGGTTTTTAATCCTCACCGGAGGATATTTTTCCATTGACTTTTAGAGAGAGTGGAAGAGAGAGGGAAAGTGAGAGAGAAATATAAATGTGAGAGAAACACATCAATTGGTTGCCCCCTACATGGGCCTGGCCAGGGCCTGGGCTGGGGAGGAACCTGCAACCTAGGTACGTGCCCTTAACTGAACTCGAACCCAGGACT